AGACTAATGAAAACAAATATCAAAAATCCAAATGCCTTCTAATTGATAAATTGGTCAAGTGTGAAATACAGATGTAATGGTATATTCCTTGACAACAAAAAAAGAAGGGATGATAGATGTTATTGCATGAGCAATAAAAACATTAGGTAGGAGAATGTAGGCAGTCACAAATGACCAGCCACAGCCTGATTTCATAGAAATATATTCAGCCTCCAGAAGAGATACCCAGAGAGAAAGTTGATCGACGGCTTTCTAGGGCAGGGGGGTTGCAAAGGATAAGAAATAACTTAATGGACTTGGGATTTCTTATAAAGGAAATGAAATATCCTAAAGTTGGTTATAGTCATGATAGTACAACTCTAAATAGGTATCAGTTTTTTACCTATCTTAGTTTTTGGAGACAGGGTCTCCAAAATGTTATATAAGCAGAGTTTGAACTCCCGATCCTCCAAAGTGCTCGAATTACAGGCATGAACTATCATTATCTGGCTATTATATACAGTTATTCTCTTGTCTGTAAGTTTGTTTTTTTTTTTTAACCTCTTTGGGGGCTCATCACCCTACTCTCAAATAAATACATGGAGACTTCTTACTTACGAATAGCCAGCCTTAGCTTGGCTTGTTTCTAGCCAGCTTTACTAATTTAAGTTATCCTGTTTCTCTTTAACTACATTTTGCCTTTGGACTCATTACCTTTCTTTATTCCACATATCTTGCTTTCCTTCTTACTCTGGGGCTAGCTGTGAGGCTGGGTGGCTAGCCCCTGGCATCTTCCTCTCCTTTTCTCACTCCTCACTTTCTTCCCTAAACTTCTCCTCATTTATTCTCTCTGCCTGCCAGCCTACCTATTTCTCTTTCCTGCCTAGCTATTGGCCATTCAGCTCTTTATTAGACCAATCAGGTGATTGGGGCAGGCAAAGTAACAACAGCTTCACAGAGTTAAACAAATGCAACATAAAAGAATGTAACACATCTTTGCATCATTAAACAAATATTTCACAGCATAAATAAATGTAACCCATCTTAAATTAATATTCCACAACATTGTCTCTCAATTTGTTTATTAAATGCGGAGTATAAATTTATTTATCACAGTTCTTTAGACTGGAAAGTGAGAAATCAGTGTCCTCATTAGTTGAAGACTATGATGCTTAGTGTTGTCAGCTTGAAAAAAATCTAGAATGACTGGGAGATGGGCCTCTGAGTGTGTCTGTGTGGTTTGTCTGGATTACAATAATTATAGTGGGTAAACCCATCTGCTGTGGGTGTCATCATTCCCTGGCTGGGATCCTAGACTACCAAAATGGAGAAAGAGAGCTGAACCTTAGTATAGTCTCCATCACTCTCTGTTCCTGATTCAGCTGTGATGCGACCAGATGCTTCAAGTTTCTGCTCCTTAGTTTCCCCCTTTGATAGTGTACCACTGCCTTCCAAGCCAAAATGAGCCATTTCTCCCTTAAGTTGCTTTTGTCAGGGTATTTTATCACAACAGGAAAAGTAACTAAGATGAGGACCTTCTCTCTCTAATAACCCATAGTAGAGGAACAAAGAGAAGGCAAGAAAGAGAAGATACCAAATTCTCTTGATAAGAAACCCACCCTCAAAATAGGAAAACTTAGTCGTATAGAAGCAACATTAATACATTCACAAGGGTGGAGTCTTAGTGACCTAAATACTTTACGTTAGGCCCTACCTTCCAACATTTGCAAGCATCCCACAAAGAAAGTCCCAGTGCCAGCTACTAATAAACAGAACCAGAGACCACTGCAGCACCTAATTAAAAGGCCATCCTTGTCACAGTTTCACAAGAATTCATCTCTTCTCTGATTCATCCAATAAATATTTGTTTGGTGTCTAGTATATGCCAAGCTAACTTTAAATGGGGGATTATGTCTCAATATGTCTCATTATAAAGAAGAGATTAGTGAGAACTCATTAAATTCATATTACTTGTCTTTAAAGCAATCCCAAAGTATATGAACTTTATCAAGGCAGCGTATACAAAGGATGTCAGAACCAAACAAATCAAAACACATCTGGGACCTAGAAACATCAAGGTAGAAAAATAAGGTCATCCACCAACACTAACGCCTCACAAACTGATCTGACCTCTGCCCAGTTCATGCATATTATTTCAGAGAGGCCAGAACAAAGTGGGAGGGGGAATTCTGGTTTTCAGTGGCCGCAAGGCTGTCTAGTTACATAACCCTTTGTAGGTCACTTAATTTCAGAAGGCAGTGTTTCTAGTTTCACTATTTGCCAATTGCCTCATTTCACATAGGTATGATTAAGGCAATTAATGGATAATGTAGTTCATCTTTATATAGGACTAGGACTCAAAAGCAGTTCCAGTCTAGTCCAGGTATCAAACATATGTATTAATGTGATCTGTTGGCCAAGTAAAAACACCAATTTGTACTACCTTTTTTCCATTGGAGGGACATTTATAAAATAAGGTTAAAAAAAACATGTTTGATTGTTTCAGAGCAGATAAGGAAATATTTAGATTATTTCAAGTCGGATCTTTAATTCGTGTGTTTTTATTTTTACTTGTTTGTTTCTGTGACAGGGTCTCATGTATCTGGCCTCAAAATCACCTTGTAGCTGAGGATGACCTTGAACTTCTGCTCCTCCTGCCTTCTCTGCTTTCTGGTGTATTTGGTGTGGAGGATTGAACCCAGGGCCTCCTACAGGGTAGGTAAGCACTCTATTTCCTGAGCCACACCCCCAGCCCTCATATACTCATTTGTAAATGCAAAGGTCTCATTTTGAAAAGGTCCCACAAGGCCATGATGGTGACTGACAAGGAGAACATGCAGAAACAGCCTAATAAAGAGGTCGGTGGAGCTCTAACCCTGCTTTTGCGTTCGATCTTCAAGGAGACTAGAATTTAGATGAAACCCACCAAGCCAGGATTTGAAACAAACGCTTAAATCTCAGCCCTTCCATCTTTAATCAGAACAAATTCAAGTTCCCACCCCAGATTTAGTCATCGGAACACATCAAAGGTTTAAGGTATTGACCTACTTTGGCAGACACAGATATAAATAAACTACTTTGATTAAACATAGGAAAGAGTTCTTCCATGACTTTGCCATTGTTTTAAATTGTCTTCCTTGTTCTTTCATAGTTCACATTATTTCCATCTAGAGCAGTGGTTCTCAACCTGTGAGTTTCGACCCTTTTAGGGTGGAATGATCCTTTCACAGAGTAGCATATCTGATATCCTGCATATCAGGTATTTACATGATGAGTCCCAACAGTAGCAAAAATACAGTTATGAAGTAGCAACAAAAATAATTTTATGGTTGGGGCATCACCGCAACATCAAGACCTGTATTAAAGGGTCGAAGCATTAGGAAGGTTGAGAACCACTGATCTATAGTCTCTTCAGGCAGTGAGACAGGAACATGAACCTGGTGTGACTTAGCAGCCACACTTTGATGCATGCTAGGGTAAGGGACTTAGACTTTCCGTAGCTGTACCCGTGAGTCCCTGACTTAACATGGCATATCCAGGGACAAAAATATCCCAGTCAGATAATTAAAGATTTCCACGGCCAGATCTAGAACACATCGGGTTGTAGGAAAATAGGGAGGAAGATGGTTTAAATTTGTGAACATAAATTAGCTGCAAATGGAATAATCTAATTTTTGAAAATAAACACTGCTAATTTTTCTTTGCCCTTTCTTTCAGTTCAGATGCAAAAGATAGAATGTAGAATTGGTTTCTGAATTTCAAAACGTATCTACGACAGTATACCCTTGTGGCAGATTAACTTTACCAACCTTTCATTATTTGCAGTTATTTATCTTCAGCTCTATAGTGTTTTCTGATGGCTAATTTGGGTGGAACAGGTCGGTGGATGGCAACTGGGCTACACTTTGCTTTTCAGTTTCCACTGCCAGAAATCCCTCTCTGCTGCTGCTCTTAAGATGTGTCTAGCAATTAAAGCTGTGAGACCTGGAGACAATTTCCCTGCCAGCTGTTAAGGCAGAAACACTGCTTGGTAGAGGTCAAGGTAGCTTGGTAACCACTACAGCAGCTGTGTTAGAGGCCATGAATATTACACAAGGTCTGTCCATGCATTCAAGCCAAGTCACCATTCCCATAGCAACACACATGGATTTTACTCCTCCTAGAGATGAGGCAGCTAGCAGAAACACTGTGATAATGCCCTGATTTTCCTAGCAAGATCAATGTCCTACTTACTCTTTTTCATAGTAGTAATTTTTTTTTCAAAAGGCAACCAATAACCATGTTGAAATGTGTTCACTCAAAAGTTTCAAACCAAGACACCTTCAACTTGAACAACAATCTATGGTTTCAAATTAGCTATCGTTCAAATGACTGCAGGAGATAATAAAATTCCAATCATAACCATAATGACTTCTGTCATCGTTTCATAGTCTGAGTGAAATCCAGCCTCCGATCAGTTCCCTACAGACCTCAGAACTGATCTGCAGTTTCTCCTCCAGGAGGACACACTTCCTCACCATGGAACAAAGAGGCAAACTTTCCAGAGGAAGGCTTAGTTTAATCAATGAATCCTTTGTTGCTTTATTTTTCAAAAGCAGCATAAGTAAACACATAAGGAGACAGCATTATAAGCATTATAAAACACCTATGAGGTAAACTTTAGGAGAATGGTTGTTTTAGACTAGAGAAATAAACATTAGCATCAAGACTGTTTTGTAAACAGAGATGGTTCACTGGCAAGATCAAGCAAAATATTTTGGTATTACATGCAGTTTTTCCTTTGTGTATTTGGAGATCCTTTTATTTGTGTTTAAATTAACCTCCCACCACGGAAACAAGTTGCTTAGATTATAAAACAACATTAAAGATTATTATTAAAATCACATTTCCCCTTAATTATGCCTGTGTTAAGCCAGCTGATGGAACACTCCAGTGGACCAGGCGTGAGCTTAGGGGGATACATTCACAGGCAGGCCCTCAGGGGCACAGTGCCATTCCCCCCAAAAAGATGTGGTTTTTACCTTTGCTTTTTCCAACTGGGCCTGGGCCTGCCGCTCAGCTTCTCTACGTACTGCCTCCCGGTCCTCTTCCAAAGACACATCTGAATCGGATGGGCGGCTGGTGTAGGAGTCTGCCGAACCCTGAAGAGGAGAACATATATTTTTAAAATAGATCCAGTGTGTGATGGGTGCACTGGAAAAGCCTCACTGGTGTGGTAGTTTGCTTCCTGGAATATGCTGCACATTCCTGAAAAGAGGAGCAAATAATGCATTTTGCTGCATCCCACCTAGAAAAGCACACTTGGCAGAGTCGTCACTGAGGAGGTTGTGGTGTATACCAAGACACCATTCCTCCCCCAGGTTCATCTACCCGAAACTACCCCTTCTGGAAGCCTCTACTTTTATCATTAAGCCAACTTCATGGTGCAGTGCAGAGCTGAAGGGCACTGATGTGTTTCAAGGATAACTCCAAGAACAGCCTGAGGGCTGGAGCAAGTATTTACACCCAGAGAGACCAACAAAACGCATCAAGGGCAATCTGATGAGTTACAAGCTCGAGCCCTCCATAATCTCACTGCTATGATACAACTCCCATTAGCATCTTAAGGAGGCTCTCCACCTTACGCTTCACCTGCTACCTTTTCAAACTAGCTGGGGGAGACACTCCAGCCTGCTTCCCTCCCACTTTCAGAAACATCTTTAAAAATACCTGGACGCAGACATTTAGTGAGAGCTGGCTAGAGAAAACACCTGCTTGAGAGATTTCCTCTGGTAATAAATCACGACGCAGGAAAGGGAGCTCAGAAAAATGACAGGAATCTCCCTTGCTCCCTCTCCGGCAATCATGAGCGTCTTAACCAAATCAAACCACCCTCTCCGCAGGCACTTGCTGCAACAACAGAAAAGCAAAGAAAACAGTGTCTCCCCCGAACAAAAAGCCCTCTCGCTTACACAGATGTCCGAATTCTTCAGCCTTCCTCCCTTGGCTCTTTTCAGAAGCCTGATCCAGGTGGCCTTCATGAGCCGGCTAGCGCCTTTATCGTCCGCAGCTGCAGCCCCGGGCACAGATCCTCAGAGCGCGCTGAGCCCTGGAGAATCCCAGCACCTTTGCTATCCATGCTCTAGGAAGCCCCTCTTCTCAGTGCCCTGCTCCCTCTGGGGCTCTCACTCTCAGCCCCAGTAGACTCCTGTCTGAGGAGGAGAAATCTTCTTGTTTTCCCATCTCAAGAGGGAACACACACACACACACACACACACACACACACACACACACACACACACACACACACACACACAGAGAATCTAATGATTTCTATTGCTTTCAAAATAAAGACAGGTCCAAGTGCAGAGACTGGCTTCAACTTGTTTAAACTTAATGCATTAGATTACTCTAAATATTCTCTTCCCTGCATTTGGCTTGTTAAAGGAAATTAGTTTCAAGAGGACATTTAGAAAAAAAAAAAAAGTAAAGATGCAAACAAAACCCCCAAACTATGCCCTGGTATTTCCAAGTGTAAAGTTCAAGCCTTATCTTTAGCGATCTGGAGGGGGGTGATGGGGGAGGTAGGATGCACTCTACACTGGGCATGCTCCACATGAAGCGTCTTTGCAGATGCTGGCATCACACTGTTGGTTTATGTCAAACTGCCATTTTCCATCTGAAGTGTAAACAGCTGGGAGGGTCTCTCAGCTCCTACAGTAACAGGCACGGGGTGTGTCTGTCAGCTTTCTGTTCCAGATGAAGCCATGTCTCGAAGACAAAACTTACTGTCTTTTCATTGAATAATCATTCTCGTTTCCTGCCACAGACAGGATATGCCATGCCATAAATAATAATTCGCATAATAAACATCACACACAATATTAAACAGCCAAAACTGAATAGTGCCCATCCATCCTATCAGAAACTAATCTTTATAAACAAGATGCAGACAGAGGTGTGGCCATGTAATTAGGACACAAAATAATCACGGCTTTATGAAGCAATGGATTTAATGGAGCTCAAAATTACTCTGGCCTGCTTCTCCCAATGAGAAACCATCACCCAAATAAGTGTGTGAATTGTTATAGTGATGCATATAAAGACTTTTCAAATCTTTGCTGATTTATTAGCTGGTGTTCACATTCACAAAATATGCTGAATCCAAATTCTTCTTGTAGATAAGAGGGCTGGGGCTTAAGAAGGAAAGATGAGAGGTATCAATGTCCTGGGTGAATAGGGTTACATTTTTAATGTTTCCTTATGAAGAAATGCACAGTGCCAAGTTTCACAAAATTTGAAAAACAAACTGCATCTATATGAGTATGGCAGGGGATTACTTTGTAAAGTCTCATCTAAATAAATAAATGTGTTAAGAAAATCTTAGCTAGGCAAAGTGGCACACATCTCTAATGCCATCACTCAGAGGCAGGAGGATCATGAGTTTCACCAGACTGGGTTACATAATGAGATGCTGGCTCAAAATAAATAAACAAATTAATTAAAAATAATAATAATGACTTCTTTACCTCCATTCCCTTCCTTTGGACACTCAACTAATACTAATTTACAGGGGCCAAAGGCCAGAAAATAACTATAGCAGGGACTACATAATAATAGTTAGAGACTGATTGCATCTGAACTTAATATTGTGACATAAATTAATGGCTTATTTATATTGTTATGAAGTTAATGTAAAGTGTCAGGGGCTTAAAAATTCTTTGCAATTTTTTTTTTGTTCAAGCAAAACATAAAAGGGACAAATTAATCCTCAACACAGGAGGGTTTCTAGTCTTCCAAAGCTTCTCCCAGCTGTAGCACCCAGCTGGGAAATAATCAAGAAGTACAATTAGACTCCACGGGGGGCCTTGATCCCCATCCTTACCAGTTTGAGCATCTAAATCAAATGGCAAAGGTTCAGTTCACACCCCAGTGCAGCTAGAAAGTCTCTGTTGTTGGTGCCGTAGTCAGGTCACAAAACTCTTGTCTGTCTTCCCACCCTGACATTCTTTCTGCATGCTCTTCCTTCCCCAATGTCCCCGGGGCCTTAGACACGGCGATACAGGTGCTTCACAGGGCCTCCTTTGAGACCCAGGACTCCAAAGTCACTTCTCCTCTGTACTTTCATCAGTTTGGCGTCTGCATTAATCACAACTGACTGCAAATGAAGTCACTGCAGCTCTGGGTACCTGCACAAGGGTGCCACAAGACTAGACCAATCTCTATTTCATCATGCATGCTAGAGGGCTTCATGAGGCTCCACAACCCACTGAGGGGTTATGAGAAAGTAATGTTCACAGGGTGGGGGGGGGGGGGGGGGGGGAGAGATGGGTGTTATTTTCTTCAGTGATTAGCCACAGATATGTCGCCCATGTTCCAGTAAATAACTCCTCCTGACTCTTGCTCAGGAAAGCAACTATAATTAAACTCAGTGGAACACACACACACACACACACACACACACACACACATACACACACACACACACACGCACACGCACACGCACACGCATGCACGTGTGCGAGAGCAGGGAGAAGGAGAAGGGTAGAGAGAGGGATGAAAAAGTAGGAGGGAGCTATGATAGGAAGAAATGAATCAATAGTAGAGAGAGGGAATTAGTGAGGCTAAAAACCCTTTGCATGGGGGCAACAAAAGTTCATTATATCCGTGCATGAAACTATTAATGCATTAATGGTAAAAGCTAGTGTATTTATCCCTCTATGAAAAGAACTCATTATTAACATTTTTTTTATGAGTGGTCAGATGGTTCAGTGGTCAATAGCACTAACTCTTCTTTCAGAGAACCCTAGTTCAACTCCTAGCACCCATATGACTATTTATGACCATTTGTAACTCCAGACCCAGGGGATCTGCCGCCCCATTTTGGCATCCTTGGGTACCAGGCATGCACATGGTACACAGAAATATGTGCAAACAAAACACCTGTAAATATTAACTAAAAAAATAATTCAAAAAAAATTAAAAGACAAAGTTTCTCATCAGGGAGAATTCACAGGATCCGATATCCTGATTACTTCATTCTCTTTTAAACAAATTAAAGACCATTGCTAGTAATCAGCTTTAACTTTTACACAGAAAAATCATTCTGATGGTGTTTTCAGGTTTGAAGAGTTCAGCAGTCTTTAAACATCACTTCACCAATGTTTGTCAATGATCTTTTGAATATTTGCAGCAATTTATTAACCTCTGACTATCTTCTAAGATGAGACTATGCTCTCCTCTTCATAGGAGCTCAGTCTATCTAAGAGTATATACTCACAAAACAGTTGTTCTAGGAAACATATGTACTTATTGTGGAAAGAGAAATGAGGCCGTGTCCTTAAATTCTCTGATCCCCAGTCACTGTTAAATAGTACAATGTTTAGTGTCCAGAGTTGCAGCATTTTTGAAAGTCACATGTCCAACAGAAGCATTGCACTTAACCTCCTTCCTTCTGGGAGTAGGGAATTATGCAGAGAAAGGTGATCTCTCCAATTAAGCTTTTGCCTTTAGTACCATATGGACTTTCTGGGTCATCGTGCCTGGGCTAGTCTTGAGTTGAGAACATCTGGCTTTCATTTCCATAACTACTGGACAGGTTCATTATCAAGTGTATCCTTGATGAGCTGATTGCTGGTAGCATTTGTCCTTGCAGACACACCAACTTCAAGTATGTTCTTCCCTTCTGTCTTTTCACAGTCACACTGCTGATTGCACAGCTACAAAATGCAAGTTGAGCCTCATGTCTACCAAATGGCCATCCCAGGAGCATCTCTATTTATCTTCAGAAGTCTCACTGCACATCTGTGTTTCTTGCTTATAGGAAAACTGAGTTAACTCAGGTTGACTTATGGCTTTATCTGCTCTTCAATTTCTTTTTCTGCTTTTGTGTCAAATGTGTGCACAACAAAACACTATCCTTTTCCTTCAATGTTCTTCTTATGTGTGAACTTTGTTTTCTTGAAGCTGTACTCTGTTTTACAATCTTAAATATCCCCCACATCAGCCTTCTTGAGTATTCTTGTGTTTTCTTAAGTCAAAAGGGTAAGAGCTCTAAGCCTACTTGAGACTAGCATCCTGAATCACAAGTGATATCAACTACTTCTGTAGGAATCTTCCCATGCAAACTAAGGCAACACTTTTGAGCAAAACCAACTTAACTTCTCGGTTTTCTAGTCACCTGGATTCTCCACCTGGAGACTGCAAACCTCCTCCCCATTCATAAGACTCCACCAACTCAGTAGCAAATTTGACTCCAATTGTTTCCCTGCTTGGGCCAACCATGGGAAAGTTGTGCCACCCATCACCTTCCTGGTCAGGAGGGAAACAGACAAGAAGGAATGGGGAAGGAGGCTGGCATGTACCATCTTCTGCTAGGGGCAGTTCTTTCAGTTCTCATACTGTTATCGTCACCGTCTTTTTCTAGAGTTTAGAAGTGACGTAGTTTTGGTTTTTCGTTTGTTTGTTTTTGTTTTTTAAAGTAATGTGATTGGCAGTTCCCTGGTTCATGGATTTCTTCACAGATACAACCCTAAACTATTTTTTATCAATAATGACAGATCTTGACTCTAAAAATTCAGAATGATGGTAAGGTGTTGAGATGAGGCATGCTTTCTTAACTACTGGATACTTTAGTTGTAAATGTCACATAACTGCTATTCAAATTCATATGATAAGCATCTCAAATATGACTGGCTATTATGTGGCTCAGTGTCCAAACAGTAACTCAGGTGGCAGTAAGGGATTCTTGCAAGGCCAACCCTCTGTGATCCTTTCATGTTTATATAAAAAGCTAGTGTGTTAGCTTCAATTTTATTAAGAGAATATGAAAATTCACAGACATTGTAGCACTATAGTACACACACTCAAATTTTTAAGTCAAAGATCCCACAAAACCCTAAACTATGTGCATTTACTTAACACATACGACTTTGAAACTGTTGTAGTACCAACCAAATATGGGAGATGTAACTGTGGAAAAGACTCAAGTGCCCTGCTGTCATTGAATTTGACAGAATTGTGAGGGAGATGGATTTTTTTTAAAGGTTAGTAGGAAAAATACCTGCTATGTGAGAACATTCAAAAGGCTAAGATGATAGAATCCTGGTGGGAGGTTTGGTGTATAGGTAGGGTGATGACAGTCTTTAATGATGACAAAATCCAAGTGATAAAAGAAACTAATTCAAACTGGGGTGTGTTGAGAGAAAAGACAGAAGGAACAGCACATGCTAAGACCCTGAGGACAGAGGAAATGAAAGGGTTTGTCTCAGCTCACATGTCTGGGTCACACACACAGCCCATCACTGAAAGAGGTCAGGGCAGGGAAACATGAGCAGAAACTGAAGTAGAAACCACAAAGGAAGTGTGCTTACAGGCTTGTTCTCAGTCTCATATTCAGATATCTTACTGTTTTAATTAGTCCAGCCCACCTATGTAGGGAAGGGACTGTGCACAGTCACCTATGACGGAAGGAACTGTCTCCACTCACCTAAGTAGGAAAGGGACTGTCCACA